TCTGCCTTACAGGGAGCCAGAGAGCAGCCACGAGACTGGAAAGGGAAATGGGGCCGGTGTGAAAGATCTCAAAGGCACAACCAGCTCAGGTGTGTGGTTTTATTGAAAGTTGGTGCAAGTTTTGAGCAGAAGGATCTCCTGGGATGTCCATAAGGGGGAAGTGGAATCTGGACACAAACACAGCAGTGCTCAGCTGTAGAAGCCCAGGCAAGGGAAGCTGTGCCTGAGAAGCACGTGGAACGGGAAAGGAGAGGCTGGAGCCAGGGTCTCTAGCAAATTGGCCACTGTGGGAGTCCGGGTCGTGGTGGGTGGAGGACAGGCCCCTGGCTCCTGTGCCAGGCCTCCCCAGCCCTGTGGACAGCACCCACAGCCTGTGGTCAGGTCTTCCTGGGGTCCCACACTGCATTGCAGGCCTTTCTCCTACTGAATCATCAGAGGGGGCAGCAAAGGCAGAGTCCTCAGACAGCTGGATCCAGAGGGAGTGACCAAAACAGCAGCAGATCTCAGGGGGATTGGGCTGATGGGGCTGGGGGTGCTCAAGGGCATTTGGGGACTTTTAGAAGCACTTCAGCCAACTTCCTATAGCTCCGTAGGCTGCACAAACAGGGTGAACCCGTGGGGAAGGCTTTCTGGGTCCATCTTGTTTTCCCAGTCTTCTCACAAAAGATCTCCCTGAAATAAGACCCCACAGAGGTCCAGGTAGACGAGGAGTTTTCTGTCAAGAACCTTTCACTGGGGCTGGGGTACAGCACTTGGCCTAGCATATGCAGGGCCCTGGGTTTGGTTCTCGGTACCACATAAAAATAAATAAAATAAAGATTGTTTAAAAAAAAAAAGAATCTTTCACCCACAAAAAAAGGTGATCAGTGGAGAAAGAAAACCTGAGGATTTTGTGGTAGGAAGAATAATACCACCACCACTCCCACCACCACCACCAAGATGTCACATTGTCATCTCTGGAACCCATAAATGTTATGAGGGAAAAGGGGCTGTGTGGATGTGACGGGGACTTCAAGAGGGGAGATTAGCCTGGTACCTGGAGGGACAAATGGAAGTACAAAGGTCTTTAAAGGTGAAGAAGAAGGCAGAATGTGGGCTGGAGTCATGCAACCCGGGAGGCTCAAGCCTCCCTTCAGTGCTGGCTTTGAAGGGGCAGTAAGGTGGCCAGAGCCAAGGACCACCCACACCCTGTAGGGGCTGGCAGAGGCAAGAGAAGAGACCATCCATGAGAGCTTCCAGAATGTAATGCAGCCCTGACACCACCTTGATTTTAGAGACACGTCRGACCTCCAACCTCCAGAGCTGAGAGATCATAAATGCATGTGAAATCACAGTTTCTTACCATCTGTTACAAGTGACAGGAAGTGAAAGCAGATGGTAAGGCTGGGTCCCTTGTCATCGGCTCTCAGCTCAAGCCAACTCGGAGAGGGACCTCTTCCACCTTCCCTCCAGTCACCTCTGGTCACCTCCYGTCACCGGCTCTTTACCGTCCAGTGTTGTTCACTCTTTGAAATGCCCCCGTTGACTTGATTTCCAGCTTCCCCACCACATCGGAGGGATCGGGCACTACTGCCATCCCCAGCTCCAAGAAAAGTGCCCCCATGCAGTCGGAGCACCACAAAAGATCTGACAGTGAGATGAGCGGGTGGATGGACGAGCATGGTGGCCCATGAATGTCACAGATGCACTGATGGCATGAGATCCGCCAAGGCAAAATACTCAGCGACTGTTTACCAGAGCMACGGCCTGCAGAGGCTCAGCAAAAACGTGGGATTATTAATCAGTTCAGATCACATCTCTTCAAACACTTGTTAAGCTTTCAGAGGGCTCAGACTAATGCTGCTACAGCCCTCCTAGGAGTGTTTATGCAGAGAGTCAACATAAATTTCCTCTGCCCAACAGTATCAGAGGGAAGTGTGGGGAGAGAGTCCACGAGTAAATACGGGGMGTGCCTGTCAAGGTGCAGAGCTCTGGGAAGAGAGGCCACGTTGATGTGGGGGAGTGGCCCGCCTTCTCAGATATTTTTAGGGTTTCCTAAACTGCACTGATAGGCTGCTTCTCTAGGAAGTGACTTGCCTATCCAGTCCAGGGTGGCGACAAAACCCAGGGTAGATTAGCGGAGCCACGGCCGCTGCCTAACTCTGGAGAGGAAGCCTCAGGAAAAGAGGTAAGATGGCAGGACAAGTGGGGTTTTATGGTTTGGATCTAAAATGTTCCCTGAAAACTCATGTGTTGAAGGCTTGGTCCCCAAGGCAGCAGTGTTCAGAGGTGAGGTTTTGGGGAGGTGACTGGATCCTTAGGTCAAGGACCTCATCAATGGATGAATCCATGGAGGGATTCATAATTTAATGGTGGGTTGGGAGGTGGTGGACACTTTAGGAGTTGGGATGTAATTGGAGGAAATAGGTCTCTGGGGTCTGCTTTGAAGGGTCTCTCTCTCTCTCTCTCTCACTCTCGCTCTCGCTCTCTCTCTCTCTCCTTCCCTCTCTTTCCTCTTTTTGAAATAATGGAACCAAGTGACCATGGAAACCATGACCTCTGAAACCATGAACCCAAACAAATCTTCCCTCCTTTAAGTTCTTTTTCTCAGGTATTTTGTCACAGCAAAGAAAAGCTGACTAACTCGTGGATACAGGGAGCACAGGATGCGCCAAGATCCAATTTGACTGCTGTGCTTTGCAGATTCAACCAAGATACACTTGAGGCACCAGGCAATGGCAACAGGGTAACATGTACAAAATTATGTTTATTGGATCCATTTTGGAAACAGACAACATGTAAAAAGGGTTTTGGTTTGTTTTCACTCAGAGTCGAGAGTTGTGATTGCTTCCTGTCATTAAACCTCAGCCATGGGAAAATCCTGGCATAAATAAAAGGAATCTTCTTTGCACAGAGGAGAGGAAAAGTGGTTAAAAATGCCACAGGTATCATACTTGCAATAGATCTGAAGACTAAAATGCCCATAAACACCCACAAAATTTTTATGTGTATAGTCTGGAATATTTACTATACCATCAGGTGTGTACAAAGGTGAAGTTGTAAACTGGCTACCAGTCAGCAGCAATTAAGTATACACTGTTCTATACTGACACTCCCATCCTCACCYTGAGAGGTTATATATTTAACTGATGACTGCTTGCCTCATCAGAGATATCTGAGATATGGAAAAGGCATTTTAAAAACACGTATTATTAATCTTATAAACTAAAAAAAGCAAACCCAAGCACGATTAATTCCTTTGCCTGGATCAATAAATATCTGTCGCAGGTGTGTACTAAATGAGGACAGAAGCCATCAGTTAAATAAATCATGATGTTCCATTTGCTAACGCAGATTAGTCAATTTGTGGACTTTAAACAACACATGCTGGGAAGGTCTCCTTGACATTCCTCTTCTGTCACTCTCTTGGAAGGATGAGATCGAATCAACTTTTTAAACAAAACTTCCAAGTCGCAAACTATCAAAAGCATAGCTCTAGACATACTTCAGATCTTCACCCAGAAGGGAAATACCATAATGGCTTAGATGAGCTGCGGAGGTCTCTTCTCCAGCTGGCAGCTTCGACAAATCCTCGCCCTCTCCCAGCCCTCTCTTGCCTTGTGGCTCACATCTTAAGATTTCATAAACAAAACCTCCAAAGACCAACAAGATCCGGAAAGGCCACCATGTGCCCCCCCACACACACTGGTGGAAGGAACGTTTTTGTGTTGTTGTTCTCCTGGAGCTGCTATTAGTGAGGCCAACAGACAAACATGAAGAGGAGGATGGGGACTCGATAGAGACAGGTCGATAGAGCCCCGAGACCTGGAGGGAGCAGTCATACACAGTACCAAAGCCTGCTGCCTCAAATAGCACTGAGGCAGGTCAGAATGAAAACAAATCAACATCCTTCCAAAAAATCTCGCCCCCACTCCCGTCTTCTCGACTGACTATCGAGCGTGGCAACGATCTGTCTGTTACAGTCCTCTACTCAAGAGGCAAACAGTCTCCGCACCTCAACACGGCTCTGCCTAGAAACCCTGGTGCTCACTAACGCTCACAGGTCCAGAGTGGCCCGCGCCCTGCCGTGCCCTGCCCACCACGATGGCTATTCTGAGCCACTCCCAGTCTCCCTTCCCAGGGGGTCCGCTTGATTTTCAGTCTGAAGAGACACACCCCATTGGAAATGGACAGTGCAAGATCCTATGTGCAAACATTTGCAAACAAGGTTTTGAAACAATACACGTTTTTAAAAATTCAAGTCAAATCCAGGCACAGACTAACTGGTAGGTTTCTGCCAGCCCCTCCCATCCACTAGAGGAAAGCCGTCCACTTTGAAATGAGAGAGCGATTAAGGCACCAGTGACTCCTAAGGAGGTTAGTTYCTTGACCTGGGGAGGAAGCCTGAGAGGGAACTGCTGAGGTTTAATGAAAGACAGACACCAGCCAGCCCGAGGCCTCCGGGCCCAAACCAAAGGACTCTGTGTGGGCAGCCCATGGGTGTAGGAGGATGGACCCTCGGCCACCAGTGGGCGGCGATTTCCCAGTGATTACAAAACTAAAGTAAGGAGGGTGCGTTCACAGGGCCACGGGGACGGGCTGCAGTTGACTTTCACTCCTGCCAAACCTGCTACTGCTTTTCGCCTGTGTCAAGGGCCTCAAGGGGAAATGCCAAGGSCAACCCACTGTTGATGGCTCTGCGTGTGGTCCCGACAACCTCTGCCAGGGGCATGGGATGCAGCATTGGGAGCACYGGGCAGTCCACCGTCTCAGGGGAGAAGGCCCAGGCTTGAAGATCCAGGTGAGGGGGGCAGGAGGCAACCGGGTCTGTGTGGCTGCGAGGAGCTGGTCAGTCACTGAAATGAGGGACCCCCCTTGGGCAGCTAGACCAGAGCTGTACCTTAAAAGAAATAAGGCACCTGCAACCAAAGGAAGAGCCCCTGGGGGTCCATGCAGGGCTCTCCTCGTCCTGGAGGCAAAGCAGGCGCTGGGAAGCCCTGGGAAGCCCTGGGGGAGGCGACTCAGCTGAGGGAAGCGCAGTTGGGCTCCGAGTCCTCCTGGCTGTCCCYGGCCACCTCCTCCAGTTCGTCGGGGCTGTCGGTGATGTTGGGCTCACTGGAGCACTGCCGGTGGGGCGGGGGGAAGCTGGGCGGCAGCAGCAGGCACTTGTCCTCGCTGCCGGCCTCCTCCCCCAGGCCCGAGTGCATCATGGTGGCCATGGCCAGCAGCTGGATGTCCGAGTGGGCGTTGGCCACCGTGTGCCGCCGAACGCTGCCGCACTTCTCCAGGTAGGCCTCTCCCTCCTGCTCCGTCAGTGGGGTCAGGGCCATCTCGTTCAGCGGCCGGCTGATGGCGGTCACCGGGGAGGCGTAGTTCAGGAGGGTCACCTTGGGCCGGACCCTGGAGTACCGCCTGGCTACAAGAGAAAAGAGCAGCAGAGGCTGTAACTGAGGGGGACGGGTGCTGGGGGAACCTCTGGGGGACTGTCCCCCCAGCAGTGGGGAGGGTGGGCAGGTGGCTCACCTGCTGACCAGCCCTGCAGGACCCAGGGAAGACCAGGCAGTGTCTAGATGTCTCTCCTGCCACTACCTGTTTACACCAGACACTGCCCTTGATCTGCCCTACCCCACAAGACTGTCCTCGACAGGTTAGGGAAGGGGCTCTCTTTCCCAGCTGCTGCCTGAGCTGCTGGATGTGCCCTAAATTCCCCTTCTACCAATCTTTGAAGACCTGGGCTTTGGCTGGGTTGGCTCCAAAGAAGCCTCTGGCTTGGTTCAGGATGTGGTCTCTGCAGGGCCGACCAATCACGCAAGAGGGGCTTCACAGACTGCCATCCAGAGGAGGAGGGGCAGGGGGTGCTCAGCCAGGCAGTAGGACCCTCCTCCAAATTGCACCAAGTCAGGACACTAATGTCCCTCACCTCCCATCAGGTGGATGAACTGAGACCTGTGTTCCAGCCAAGCCAAACCTCCTGGACTCAGAGAGCCTTTGGCATCACTGGAGAATGAGCTGGGCTTCCGGGATGGCCCCAAGCAGGYGGGCTCAAGGAGGAAGGCAGGACAGGAATACTATAAAACTGCCATTTTTTGAATGCTCACCATATTCTAGAAACTGCACTCAGCCTTGATGCATCTTTCGAATCCTCCTAGAAATGGGACCTAAGTTATGATCTATTATTAGCTCCCACTTTACAGACGAGAACACTGAGCCTAAGCTAGAATACAGTCAAGCAGAGACTCACACAAGCTCTGTGTCCCCCCACCCCTCAGACCCCGCTCTTCCTCATGCCCACACAAAGAGCACCGAAGCTCTAACAGAATTCCTCAAGGGAAGGACGAGTCAGTTTATGGCATTCAAAGGTGGGGGGGGGGATATCTGGGAGCTACCAGGAACTTGACCGGGAGGATGGACACTAGACACAGACCTTGTGGGTGGAAGAACACTGAACCAGGGGGGAGAGGGTGGCGGCATTTGATGGGAACAGCCTGAGCAAGCTRCGAGAGGGCACAGCCCTCAGGTCAAACCCTGGCTGGGACAGAGTCCATGGAACAATGGAGCTGTGTCCCCTCGGGCAGGATGGGCATGTCCTAGGGGCCAGATGGCAACATCTGTGGTGCACCACAGCCGTGGGGGTAGGGGGCCAGGATGCGGTTGCTTGCAGAAGATTGCCCTGGCAGGGATGTGAGCATGGGATGCGGCCAGCGAGACCAGGCGGGAGGAGATCCAGGGAGCAGGCTCAGGCATCATTTTCTATCATAAATCTGGATTGCACGTGCAAGAGAAAATAGTGTCGGAGTCAAGAGGAGAGGAAACTGGGAAGACCAGGACAGGAACTAGCATGTGGCAGCGATGGGGGGGAGTGGGGGGGGAGTGAGGGAGACGACGGGATGGAGACACTAGAGAGCCTGATGCTACAGAACCCAACAAAGAAGGGATGTGGGACAGGACAGGGCGAGGAGGAAGAGCAGTTGGGGTGGGTGATGGGCACTGAATGGTGGACAGAACAGCACCAGATGCAGCACAAGCTGACCTGGGGAAGGGGCTGAGGATGGGAGGGGGCAGAGGAAGCAGTTCGTGAGCCCCAGTTGGCCACGCTGACCTTGACCCTGAAATGCCTCCCTGGGCAGACAGATAGGAAGAGATCTTCAGAAAGGTGGGTATTTTCAAAGTCAGGACATCAGAAAATGTTCACAGTTATGGTTTGGGGTGACAAAAGCAGAATATAAACTATGCTATTATATGTATTTTTTTTTCTTTTCTACTGGTGTTACACACACACACACACACACACACACACTGAGCTGGGAACACTATACCTGAAAATACCAATTGTAGTTACCTCTGAGTAAACAGGCTATCGATAATTTTTAAAATTTCTTCCTTATCCTCTTTTTGATATTTTACAAATTTGATTCCATGGGCATGCTTTCCGGAGCCATTTTGGAGATATAAAAGCTGCAGTCTCCTGGACCTTGGTAATGGCCAGAGCCCTCGAAGTGACCAAGACCTCTCTGAAAATGGAGAGGGGGTCGAGGACTACATTATTCTTGTGTATGCCTGTGTGCAGGGTGAATAAAATGAGAAGGGTCACCTAAAATGACAATAAAAGCACTGGTGGCTAACATGGAGCACCTTGTGTATACAACTATATAAACATCCAGTGCAGGGAGGAGGGACCATTATCATTATGACCACTCCGTACATGAGGAAACCAGGGGACCAGGAGGCTAGATAACTCGCCCAGTGTCACAAGACACAGGCACTGGATTCTGAAATTTGGGTATCTCGAGCTCCGMGTGACGGCGCATGCCTGTAATCCCAGCAGCGTGGAAGGCTGAGGCAGGAGGATCATGACTTCAAAGCCAGCCTCACCAACTTAGCGAGGCCATAGCAACTCAGAGACACCCTGTCTCTAAATAAAGTACACAAAAGGGCAGGGTTATGGCTCAGTGGTTAAGTGCCCCTGAGTTCAATTCCAGTACCAAAAAATAAAAAATAAAAAATTGGTGAAGCTCCCTGCCTTCTTCAGAAGGAAGGACCCCCTAGGATGGTGTGAGAGGCTGGAAATCAACTAAATAGTTGAGTATCCAAGGTCTCAAAGGCAAAAGTGAACGTGACACCCCGATTCCTGGGGCCTCTCTCTCCCAACCTTTACTGGGACCATGTCAGTCCAGAAGCCCTGAGTCTGGGGCCACAGCTGGCATCGTGGGTTGGTGCCAGGCCTCGGTGAGGCAGGAGGTGCCCGCTGTCACAGGTCTATCCTGGGAGAGAGCCAATTTGAAGGAATGTATGGAGGGGCCAGAAGCACAGTGGAGGGCTGAGGGTCAGGCAGGTTCTGGTCAGGGACTTCTCTCTTTCCAACCTTCCTCCCCTCCAGAGCACAGCTCTCCCCAGCCTTTACTGGTCACCGCTTTCCACAATGCCCTTCCCTGAAGACCCCCAAAGAGCACACCCCTCTCCTAGCAGGCCAGAGTGACACCATGGGATACAGCAGAGAGCAGAGAGCAGCATTAGGACCCCACACGAATGGATGGGGTGCCCACTCTCTAAATGGAGGGCACACAGTGCTGCTCATAGACTTGCCTTGGGGACACTTACTTGGCCCAGGCTACTTTGGTTTGCTCTCTGCTCCTCCCATGGATCCCAAGGGGCCTGGGCATGTGCCCACCTCTTCCAGAGCTCATGCTCCTGGATGCATACCACAGTGAGATCTGCACATGGCCACCCACAAAGCTCACAGCGGCTTGCATCGAGATGTGTGTGTGTGTGTATGCAAGCACATGCGAGCACACATGTTTAATGACAAGAGAATGAAATTCCAACCCTTAAGACTAAATTCCCAAGTCTACTGGCTCAGAACCATAAGGGAGCTGTTTGGTGGTAACAGTAGGAATTTTTCTGAATCAAATGACAATGTGCAGAATTTAGAGCTTAGAGTGTTCCCTTCCACAGCTTCACTGTTCATCCCAATCTCCTCCCTCAGAAACAGGCGGGCGGGGGCTCGTCATCCCCACCTTGCAGGCGAGGAAGACCAGGGTGCAGCCCCCGTTCTCTTGGGTTCTCAATGGCAGGCCCAAACTTTCCCTACTGCACACCACTACGATTCAAGGCGCTTTGCTGTCACACTCCAAAGACAAGCTCCTTGAGCCAGCCCCCCATCTCAAGTCAAGTAACAGCAAACACCACCCATTCCCACTGCTGCTGCATAAGAGGCTGGGGATGTCCAGCAYAGGCAGGGTCAGGGTCATTTGAGGACAGGAGACACGATGCCAAAGAGCGAACYAAGAAGAAAGAGTCTATGCATGAGMACTTGCCCCCTCCAAGCCACACATTTCTATATTGTCCCCACATTCTAACAATAACCATACATTACTTTTATGATCAGAAAAAATCGATACCCATAAAACAGAAGCACTGGAAGAGTTCAAAGCAGCAAGGACCCCATTAAAGAACCATCCTTTAAAAACAATGCCCTTGAACACAACTCATTTCTCTCCCGCTGCTGTTAAAAGCCAGCACTGGGACTGGCTGTAGAGAAACCMGTGTTGGGGGTGAACACTGCAACCAGCCCAGGTGCAGACTGGACGGAGCAGGTACTACATGCAAATGGGCGTGCTCCTGAGGGTCAGGTCTATCTGCTAGAGGGGTGCAGAGGGCAGAGCCAGAGGCAGGTAGGAGCTACATCATTTCTACTGTTGGTAGAGACTCAGATGGTTTATAGAGGTCCGGGAAACATTCTGTTTGGGAAAGGGGTATATGAAAAGCAGCAGTATTGATGTTAGATGTTACAACATGGCTAAAACTTGGGAAAGGCTCATCTGGCCAGAATGGGCTCATCAGGCCATAACCCTGCCTTTTTGTGTACTTTATTTAGAGACAGAGTGTCCTTGAGTTGCTTAGGGCCTCGCTAAGTTGCTGAGGCTGGCTTTGAAGTCATGATCCTCCTTTGCCCAGGAATGAGGCTGGGCAAAGTCTRGACATGGGGTGAGTTAAGAGGGAGGGGATTTACAGGGCTGACCCACTCAAAGCATCCCCAGAGAAAGAGAGAACTGGCTGACCGAATTCCGCAGGCCCCAACCTGCAGAAGTCCGGCAGAGGTCTCTAAGGGGTTCCTGGACATCATCCATCCCTCACTTTAGTCATAGGCCAAAGTCCTCCGAGCGTTCAACAGGCTACAAATCGACAAAAGAGGTTGCTCTGGATGACACTGAGCAGGGCTGAGAGCAGAAGCCAGCGTGAGGGTGGCCAACCCTGGAGAGGGTCCCAATGGTGCCCACCCATCCTCCCATAAATGCTTCCTGACCTGCAGCACACATGACRCTGCAGAGCTGCTGAGAGCAGAGAAAGGTCAGTGTGGCGTGTGGGCGGCCACCAGAGGCTGGGGCCCAGCCCACAGCACATGCGAGCCCTGAGGCA